GGTGCCGGAGGCCGCTCTGGGCTCCTCTGGGCACCTCCCCCGGGGCCGGTTTTGTGAGGATGTCTCAAGCGAGGGCGCCGGTTTGGGATTCGTCGGCGGATCCAGCGGATCCACCGGATCCACCGGATCCACCGGATCTGTCCGGAAACGGTGCCGGAGGCCGCTCTGGGCCCCTGTGCTCCCCGCGCCGGGGGTGAGGATGACGGTAGTTCCACAGAAACTCCCTCAAATGAAGCTAGCGCACCAGCTCGTCCGTCTCCTCGTCTCCCTCCTCCTCCTCCTCCATCTCGCAACCGAACCTCTGGCCGATCGGCCGGCCCTCGCAGGCGATCGTTTAGATTGCCACACAGATTTCGCACGGGGAAAAGGAAAAGTAACGAATTCCCCCCCCCAGGCTGCCGGGCAACGACTTTCACAGGTAGCCCCCAGTCCATAAGCCCCAGCCAGGACAAGCTATATGTTTTCTGAGTCGGCCTCTGGGGGGCAGGATTTGTCTGCTCGCATGCGGCGGTAATCTGGAGGCCACGTCAGGCCAAAATCCCCTGAAGCCTACAGCATGATCCGTGGGATGTGCATGTCCACAACTGCCTTTTCCTCATCCCACTTCAGGGGATTATGTTACAGCTCTTCCACTGCTTTCTCCGAAGGTCCAGGGCCTAATCCCTGGGCGGTTCCTGTTGACCGCGTCTCGCCCCTGGGGGGGGGGCGCCTCGGGACACCACAGCTTCAACCTTGAGCGCCCCCTGGGCACTTCCCCCTAACCGCGCCTCGCGGCCGGGGGGGGCGCATCGGGACACCTCGGCTTCAACCTCGGGCACCCCCTCTTGACCGCGTCTCGCGGCCGGGGGTGCGCCTCGGGACGCAGCTTGGCTTCAACCTGAATGGGCCCCCGGGCACCCCCCATCGACCGTGTCTCCGGGCCAAGGGGTCGCCTTTGTACACCCTGGAAGGAGGCGAGGTGTGGCGGGCGACGGGCCACGAAAATGCGCCTCCAGTGAATCTACGCTGGTTCCTAGCTCATCCAGGCTAGCGCGCCTCCTCCTCCTCCTCCTCCTCCTCCTCCTCCTCCTCCTCCTCCTCCTCCTCCTCCTCCTCCTCCTCCTCCTCCTCCTCCTCCTCCTCCTCCTCCCTCCTCCCTCCTCCTCCTCCTCCCCCTCCTCCTCCTCCTCCTCTCCTCCTCCTCCTCCTCCTCTTCCTCTCCTCCCTCCTCCTCCTCCTCCTCTTTCTCCTCCTCCTCTTTCTCCTCCTCCTCCTCCTCCTCCTCCTCCTCCTCCTCCTCGACTCCTTCTCCTCATGAATAACTCCTCCACGTCGCACCCCAAGGCAGGTCGAAAGGGCGGGCCGGGCGTTTCGCCTGAAAACTCCTTACTATTTAGAGCCTGAAGCGTACAAGCTGGCAACAGCTCCACAGATGAAGGGCGGCTGGTTGTCAAAATGTTGCTCTCGCCTTATTAGCGCCGCGCACAACCGTCTTAAAACATTCAAGGGCTTCACGGATTGAGGGCGGCTGGCTTTCAAAATGTGGTTCGCGCCTTAGCGCCGCGCACATTCGCCCTAACAAATTCAAGAGCTTCACGGATTGAGGGCGGTTGGTTTTCAAAATGTGGTTCGCGCCTTAGCGCCGCGCACATTCGTCCTAACAATGTGCAGGAGCTTCACGGATTGAGAGCAAGTCGTTTTCAAAATGTGGCCCTCGTTTGTAAACAACGCAAGAGCTTCATGGATTGAGGGCGGTTCGTTTTCATAATGTGGCTCTTGTCTTAGCGCCGCGCACCTTCGTTTGACACATTTGCAATAATTTCATGGATTGAGGACGGCTCGTTTCAAAATGCGGCTCTCGCCTCGGCGCCGCGCACGTTCGTTTTAACAAGTTGCACGAGTTGACTGGCTCTCTGGTTAACGTAGGGAACATGGTATTCGGCAACGATTCAGGAATGGCAATGGCGCAAGAGGCGCCAGAAATTGTGTTTTGGCACGATGCAAGATCGCCAAGACGCGCCAGGAAGGTCACCTCGTGGCGCTGGACTCCTGAAAATGGTGTTTGGGCACGCTCCAGGACTTTCACACACACACACACACACACACACACACACTTGTCCCCCTACGGGGCAATTCCCTCAGTGGAAAAAAACCTTCGTGGGGTTCCATGAAGAGGAAGTTTAGAGGTAGGCTGTATTCCATCATCGTTGATCAATATTGGTTTTACGTTCGTCATCCTCCTCCTACTCATACTCCTCCTCTTCGTCCTCCTCCTCCTCCTCCTCCTCCTCCTCCTATTCCTCCTCCTCCTCCTCCTCCTCCTCCTCCTCCTCCTCCTCCTCCTCCTCCCTCCCTCCTCCCTCCTGCTGTCTCCTCATGCTCCTCCTCCTCCTCCCTCCTTCCCTCCCCCCCCCTCCCTCCATCTGATATTTGTATCCGTCGTCCTCCTCCTCCTCCTCTCCTCCTCCTCCTCCTCCTCCTCCTCCTCCTCCTCTCTCCTCCCTCTCTCCTCCTCCGCCTCCCTCTCCTTCCTCCTTCTCCTCCTCCTCCTCCTCCTCCTCCTCCTCCCTCCTCCTCCTCCTCTCCTCCTCCTCCTCCGCATCTGGTTAGTATCCTGCCAGTGCTCCTCCCCTCCTCCTCCTCCTCCTCCTCCTCCTCCTCCTCCTCCTCCTCCTCCGCGTCCTCCTCCTCCCCCTCGTTATCAGGTGCGTTCTGGCCCCGATCGAGTTAAACTCAACCGTTGCGATGAAAGCGCCCTGCGAAACACAACCCAGACACAAAGAAAACCATAAGGATCTCTCAAGTTTCCAACCCTGCTCTTCCATCGACGACGGAGAAGTCGGAGGGAGATGGGAAGGATCGTGCTGGCGTTTAGGGCGGCCCCAGGAAGGCGTGCATGATGGCCACCATGTGGGGTAACCCGAAGGAACTGAAAAGCCCGAAAGACAGCCCGGCGACATCTTGCGAAAACACTCAGAACGGGTGAGGAAGTGGAGTTTGGAAGTGAGATGGAGAAGGTGCGAAGTAACAGACCAAAGCGGCAGGAGCTGGGAAGGCCAAGGAGGAGGGTGAGAAGGAGCGTATTGGGACTGCGACAGATACTGAAAGCTACAAATTCCCGATTCTTCCCCAGCGCCAAGGAATGCTCCAGGAA